CTAGTATCAACACTAGATACTCATTTGAACAGGATTCAATACTAAAGAAGTTCCACTGACAGGACAGAGATGAACCTGTTTTGGTTGTTCACATTCAGGAACATCACTTTTTCTATTTGGGTGTGTTACAACCAACAAAAGGATGTAGCTGTGTCTAATAACCTGATATTTACAGATGACATGAGTGTGTGATGTAACTTAAGTCAACATGTTTGCTGAAGGTTCATTGTGTCTTCAGTCTTAAGAAAGTGCTATCTGACTTCAGTAACATATACAGTGATGGGAATAACAGTGTTAAAATAAAATATTACTTTTTTCAGTAATGAGTAACTAATTACTTTTTCTATCATTACCACGTCGTTACCAACATGCCGTGAATGAAGCTGCTCACTGAAGCTGTCATCAGACTTGGCTCACACCACGACTCACACAAACGCAGCATATATATACATATACTATACAAGCTCTGTGTGTACGCCAATGTTATTCATACGAGGAAAACGGTGAATAAAATCAGCTGAAAAACATGCGACAAATCCACTCTTACCTTCAATAAGGACTGAGACAGAGACAGAAATGCTGCGGCTGTCCTCACTCCTCCGTGCTGTTACTATCTTCATAAAGTCACCATAAACTCACGGCGGAGCTTGTATCACAACAGGACTCATATCGCTCTCTCTACTGCTGGACTTATTTCTCCACTAAAGCATTTGCTCTGCTGTGTGACATGTAAACAAACAGCGCCGTGTGATGATGTCATCGGCCGTGGCCCAGTTTGTTCGTTCGTGCAGCTGTGAGTGCCTTTAAAAAAAAAAGTAATGCAATAGTTACTTTCCCTAGTAACTAGTTACTTTTATAGTGGAGTAACTCTTTTACTAACTCACTTACTTTTTGGGAGAAATACTTACTTTTTCAAAATAATGTGCCCATCACTTCACATCAAACATACTATGATCACATTTTACCTTTGATTGTTTTGAAAATATTGTATTTGCCCCAAATAACACTAGAACATGTTTTATATTTAATTTATTTGTCACAATGAGGGACACGAGGACACTGAACAAACTGCTCTCCAACATGAACACTCCTGCTCCCCCACTGCACCAGAGGGACAGATAATACTCCCTACAACTGTACAACAACTCACCCTTATGGAACAGATAATACTCCCTACAACTGTACAACAAGGCAAGGCAAGTTTATTTGTATAGCACAATTCGTACATAAAGTAATTCAAAGTGCTTTACAGAATAAGAAATACATTAAAATCATAATAAAACAAATCAAAACATAAATAATCATGAAGATTAAAATTAAAAAAGAGAGACATAAATTGGAGAGAAGAGTGCGGAATGAAAACCTTTCAGTTATATGCACAGTTAAACAGAAATGTTTTGAGCCTGGATTTAAACAGCGTCACAGAAGAGGCCTGTCTCATATGTTCAGGAAGACTGTTCCAGGTTTTAGCTGCATGAACCTGAAACAACTCACCCTTATGGAACAGATAATACTCCCTACAACTGAACAACAACATGCACGACCCGAGTGTTGACGGCTGGGACTCCGCTTTACGCAGTTCACTTTGTGGAGTTTAGATGACTTGGCACAATGCCAAGAGAACGGTAGAGAAAGCAAACTTGGAGTTAAACTTATATGTAGAATGCTTTTATCTTATCCTGCTGTTGAAGGTGCATCACTGTGTGTAAAGGTCCTGAACAGGTTTGAAGGCTGTACCAAGTGCTGAAGTTTCTTTAGTGCATCACATGTGCATATTAAACATTGAATTTATATATTTGTTTGACTATTGCACATTGAGTTGTTTAACCACTGAAATCTTATGTATGTTTAAAGCTACCACTGTGTGAAACATGTTTGCTTTTGAGGTAATTCTTTGCAGATATAGGTTGTGTCCTTTTAAGGAATTTCATTGTAAAGCAGCAGCAGTGGAGATGGTTCGGCCTGGTGTGAAACTAAACAAACTGGTGATTTACATTGGGCTGCTGTCAACTCCCTCAACCTAAAGGAATGCAGAGATATTCCAAGGAAGATTCAAGGCGTTACCTGTCCAACATATTATTTGCATATTCATATGAATGTCTATAAAACCTGGGTTAAGTTAGTTCAGAGGCAGTCAGATTGCCTGATCTTAAGACCTCTGTAGCCATAGGCAGTTAGGGACAACAATCTGACCCAGAGCTCTGTATTAGAATTGTATTGTATAGGGAATTAATTCTTTTTGTTTTTAATCGATCGATTCCAGTGGTTATTTTTAAGAGAACACGCTGAACGGTTTTTTTGAGGATACCTAACAGGTTAGACGGGAGTTACCTGTCACTGCAGATGGAGGCGCGCGGCACCATGCACTTGACTCAAGGTGCATTGATGCGGCCAAGCAGAGAAACTGTTAAAGTATGTTAATCATGTCCTCAGTTGTAGTCACAGGGAGGTGCTACAGTACAGGTTACAGAAGGCAGGTGTGTGTCAATTTATATATTTTTTGTTCACTTGGGCTTGCCGTAGTTCTCGGAGCCAGTTCTCCAATAAATATGCCAAAAAGCGGCCGATTAAATGTCATTTTTCATCTGCTCTTTTTCACCCAAATGCAACGCTGGCTGTAACAAAAGTACACCGTAACTCAACTTTAAAAATAATGAAAAACTGGACTGTGTGGCAATTTGGACATTTGTGTGAATGGACAGGAGCAGGAGACCTTCATTACCTGTCTCCAAAGACCAGGGTGCAGGAGAACACGCTGTGAAGCCCAGTGTGTTGCGAGAGTCTCAGTCAGACAGAGGCACTGAAAGGATCAATAATTTAGAAATTTGGATATTTTCATGAATAAGGGCTCAAGAATTGGAATTTTACGGGGTCATGGAGGACAGAGCCTCTTACACAGGGACCCAAAATGTATGTGGACAAAAGGTTGAGCAGCGAGAAAGGAGCTCTGATAAAAGCTTCTAGAGAGCCGCTTCTCACGAGATACTTTTTACAGGATTGCATGAGTTTCTCTGGATTGCGGGATAATTTGTTGGGATTCTTTTTATCACCCCACAGCCCTGGCGGGGCTCCGTAGTAATGTAACTCTTGTATATTGTTCTCAAGTCTCATGAGGCTGTGGGTATGGCGGGTTACTGTTACACATCATCTTTGACGGACTATTTGTTCTCTGTTCTGTTCTATTTGTTCACCTTTCATAAACCCAGGTGCGCTGATCAAATGCGCTTCCCCAAAACAACAATAGAACCAACACCATTATGCAGAATCCAACATAACATAATATAAACTGTTAAAAAAAATGAGTGCAAAATAATATAAATGAATTCTCCAAAATAATGTGCAAAATAACAATGACCCAAAACAATGTTGATACATCAAATAATATATGTCCAATATATATGTCAAAGGTTACAATATGTTTTAGTGAAAAGGGTCTTCAATTGAAAATGAGCTGTTTGGTGGAAGGGCGCCCCCTGCTGTGTGCGGTCAACACAGCAGGGGGCGCCGTTCGACCATTTTCTGATTCCAAACAAATAACGAGAAGGTTCAGCGTTTGTGGATCATAACTTTGGAGATTTCTGTCTAAAAACAGTGAATCTTCCACAGAGTGAAAGGCCCCTGCCCTCCACCTGAGACGATGCCATGAGACTGTAGAACGTGAGCGCGGCCTGCTGGTGTGTTAAAGTGAGAAACCTACAGTCTAGTGTTTGATTGCGTAAATGTTACAATTATATAAATGGAGAAGGAGGACAGATTTCCCTTCGTTTCCTTCGCACTGTGGTCTCGTCCTTCTCACTCCACAGGGGACTACACACTGTCTCTGGTGACTGTCTCGCCTCGGGGCCATGGCAGTGTTCTTATGACAGACCCACACTCAGGACGCGTCTCTCCGGTTTGGTCAAACGGATCGTCCCTCGTTTGGAATGCGCCAGCTCCGCCCGTCGCCCCGCCCACGCCGCAGGTGCGTCCCAAACAAACGCGGAAGTTTTGGAACCGACGCGCCGCTCCTCGGCTGCTCTTCTTTCCACGGAGTTCACCTCGTTTCCCCCCCGGCTCTGAGCTCCGTTCTCCGGTGTGCGCTCTGACAGAGAACCGGCTCTGGGCCCCGCTTTCCGCTCCGACAGAGTCCCAGCGCCATGTCCTCGCCCGAGGAGCTCCAGCTCAGTCCCTCGGCCGGGGCAGAGCCGCAGGACGGTGCCCTGAAGCCGTCCACAGTGAACCGTGTGCTCATGGAGTTCCTGATGTACCTGGGCCGGAGCGTGCTGCTCCTCTACCCCGTGTACCTGACGGGCTCCCTGGGGCTGAGCGTGAGCTGGGTGCTGCTGGTCATGCTGCTTCTCACCTGGTGGAGCAAGAACCGCGAGTGGAAAGAGGCGCGCATCGACTCCGCGCTCGAGCTACTGGACAACGAGACCCGAGTGATCCACGCGGAGCTCCAGAGCACCCTGCAGCACGCGTCCTGGGTGAGGGTCTGCTCATGTCACTACAGACCAGGGACTTGAGGGGGAGGCGAGGTTTAGGCTACATGTTCATCTGAGAGTTTAAGAGACCTGACAGACCGTACAGCTGAAAGGTCCACAAGAATGAGACCAGGTCTAACCCAGGTCTTCTAGCCTGTTCTAGACCAGGACTACGAGACCTGGTACCGCACTAAGTCCAAACCAGCTCCACGTACTTGGAACTAAACCAGGTCTTAAACCAGGTCTGTGCTGTCGCCATGGTGACAGCGACTCATTTGCATAAACAGGTTAAACGGGTGTGAGCTAAATGTGCTGTTTGGGATCTGACCTCACTCCTCACCACTCCTACACCAGACTCAGTGACAGAGCTCTAATAAACACAAAGATGAACCAATGTGTCAAACGAGCAGTTCACACTCAACTCTACGAGACTTATTTAAACCATTTCAAAGGCATTCAGGGTTACTGTGTCACAGAGGAGGGAGAGTGGTGCAGAGGAATGAGAGGAGGGTGCAGAGGAGGAGGGAGCGTGGGTGCAGA